AATTGATACCCGGTATTGATGTTTGTTTATTGATCTAATTAACATAGACATTGTGAAGACACTTTTGCAAATGATATAGCTTTGGGTGATTTATATTTACCACTCTACAAAATGATGACATAAAGTACAGTTCATGGTTGCTGAAAGAAAGTAGGATGTGTATTTTCCATAAAAAGTCATAAGGAATGGAATTACATTCTATTAAGGAAAACTAAGTAAATCTGAACTTACAGGTGGCTGTTCTCTGAATGGGCAAATAAAATGATAATACAGAAGTATAAAAAGATTTGTGGCAAGGGGAAGAGAGTTTGGTGCATGATACAAATTTCTTAATACATTAAACTGTCTTTGAAATCTTTTATTGTTACTTTGACTAACTGAATAACTATTGTTTCACAGTGAATATAAGCTGTTACCAATCCGGAATTTGGTTTTCCCTTCCTGTTAAAAGAACACAGTTTTCTTTAAATGTGGCTTTTGGTGACAGACTATGGCACACATAGACAAAGCTCATTCTGCTTCTACAAAAATTAACCCCTCATCAGGGAACTTAAAATAGATAAACAATGACTATAAACTAAATAGTTGGCGTTATGGGAAATCCAAGACGGCCATTTGGTTTTTCCCAGCTCCCCGACAAACCTCACTTTTATTTGATAAGATAAAGCCTTTCCTGGCTTCAGGGTTAATATCTCACAATGGAGAAAAAATGTCTAAAATATGTTCTACAATCTCCAATGACTGGGGCACCCACTTTGCTGGACAGATAGTACAGACATTGGCAAGAAACTTCACAAGCTTCTTGGAGACTATCGTTTTCACGAAGTCCTCGGTCATCGGGCAAAAATGACAGAACAAAGGGATAGGTTACATGAGATTGAATAGGCTGCTAAATACGACTACAATTTTCATGACTTTTTGTCAGACATATTACTGGCTTATAATCTTTGTTTTCAGAGATAAAGAAGCTCTTCTCCTTAAGTTACTGATGGTTTAAAACAATTCAGTGATTCACACCTGTGGGTAAAATTAAAACATTTTTCTTTTCTCTCTGCCTCATCCCTCCAGAAACTGGAGACACTTGGGTTCTGAACAGCCTCATCAAGGTTAAAAAGGCTTTTTCTGGATATATACAGAAATCTCAAAGTATACTGGGGAGCTCTAAAAGAAAAATCCACCAAACGGATGTCAGGCCTATGGCATCTATTATGTTTCCCCAAATATTAAGTTCTAGTTTTGTTAATTAAGGTCTGTATTTACTAAAACTCACTTCTGAGATAATTCCTTGCAGTTATGTTACATTGCTAAGAGGTTTAATTAAGTTATTAAAAAGGACACTCTGAGTTTGTCTCTAAAGCTTATCACAGTAACCAGTCTTTGAATAAAGATCAAATGCTCCAGGATCTGCAACCAGGAGATTAACAACAGGCTCAAGTCATTTAACAAACTAAGTCAGATGACTTGGAGATGTCACTGGGCTATACCTAATGGAAGTTCTTGACTTAAGTTCTTACTTATGATTATACCATTACTGCTAACTATAGTGCTTTCTATATTGCCTGTTTCAAGAGGTATTGTCCCTTACACTATCAAGTGTGTGACTGAGTCACAGTTCCACATGAAATCCATAGTTATAATGGTGTGACTCTGTATATAAGAAGAAGCAACAAGAAGGAATGTTTTCCTGGTCCAAGAGACTAGTGAGACAGGTAAGGTCTAGAGACTTTTGCTACTCACAGGGCCTAGTCCAGTAACAGCACGTTGAGTAGCCGATTGGTGAAATCTTCAACAGATCTGGGAATGAGCCTTCCCAGCACTGTGGGACAAGATGGTCATGAAATGCCCCCCAAACTATGGTCAAACTCATGGCCATAAAGGGGCCCTGCAACTGGAAACTGGCACTTGCCACTGGCATCTACAAAGATTAAATCATGGACACTACAGCTGCTGACCTTCAACATCTCCTGAATGGAATTCAGGGTGGAAATCAGAAATTAGGCACTCACTCTGTGCTCTGGAAAAATGGACAAAACTGGCCTTCGGACAGTTAGATATTTTCAGGTAAAGATTTTATTGAACCCAAATTCTTCCACCTTCTCGTACCTAGAAAAATGCTAAAATTGTCAGTGGTGACAACTACTTTGGTTTATATGTTAATACCACAATAAGAGGCTAGAGCCTACTTGGACAAACTTAGACAACTGGCTACCTGGCTATAAGTCTCCCTAAAATAGCTGTCTACGTTGGGGTTCAGACTCATTCTTCTAAAAGGAAATGGTAATATTTATTTTGTCTGTTAAGATTCAGGTTGTCATTCTTTCAACTACTTCTAACTGGGTCTGTGATACCTACGCTGAAAATGTATATGAACATGCCAAATGGTTCCATTCTTATAAACAGGGCAGCCCAAGTGCTGACTCTATCTAGACCAGGATCAAAGTCACTACCAAATGTAACCTGATTCTTTGCCTCTTGCTTGGACTACTGATTACAATAATTCTTTGACTGATATATAATCTCTGCCTTTTAATCTACTTGTCTAGTTTGTTCTTTCTAAAGGATACAACAGCTTCCCAGATACAGTAACCATGATGCAGAGATTCTGGTCACTCTTCAAAATGGACTCCCCTTATGTTTCACTCTTCTCACAGATACAATCTTGATTTAGAAGCTCTCCTTAGTGGAAAACTATCTTGACTGTAATAATCATAATCATCTTATTCTTGCTGCTTGCTCCTTATATCTGTAACTGTATAATAAACTTTGTATCTAAGCAGCTTGAGACATTTAAGTTACTAATGATGGTTCATGGTTCTACAGTTTTTACTGCCTCCTCTAGCTATTACTCAGGACCCCTGGATCAGAGACCCTCGATATGAGGGTAAGGAGAATATGTTGTCTCAACAATTTAGGGTCTGTGCCCCTTACCAGCAGGAAGAAGTTATGGAACGATTTATCTGCCCCTTTCCCTGGCAACCATATTCTCCTAGAGGGGGGAATGAAAAAGGGGGGAATGAAAGACTTAAAGCTTGGGCAGGCAGTCCAAGGCCCTTTAAGGAGGATGTGAACATTCTCAGCTCATGCTTTCCTTGAGCCTTATGCAACAATGTATCTTACATGAGAAATGGCCTTTCTTTAGGTCCAGGAACTAATGATTACATAGAACATTTTATTCATGGAAATGCTTTTCTTAGACTCTACATTAATGATTATAATTGTAACAGATCTTGGCTGGGAAACTGTTTCTCAAGACTTGTACCCCTGATTACACAGCAACAGTATATCTCGCCCAGAGACACTACCAGAACCATTCTCCCTGGCTAATCTTGAGCCAATGTTGCCTCAGGATGTAGGCCTTGGGAAAGGGTCTGGGAACTTACAACCTTGAGGTATCCTTTTTGCCTATTCTCAGCAGCTAGTTAAGAAGCATATAAAGCCCCACTTGAACAAGTGAGGCGGGTACTCTCCTCCAGCTTCCAGTGCCTCCTGTTGGAAGCTTTCTCTATCCCCGTTACTTTAATAAAATCTACACAAAACTCTGAGTAACTGAGATTGTCTTTGGTCCCAGAGTTAAATCTTCTCCTTCCGAGACCACGAATCTGGAAGTACCATTTACCATAAGCTGTCAGAATCTCCAGGCAAGAATACTGAAGTGGGTTACCATTCTCTTCTGCAGGGGATCTTCCCAACCCAGGGATTGAACCCAGGTCTCCTGCATTGCAGGGAGATTCTTTACTGTCTGAACCACCACGGAAGCCCAAATACTGAAGGTGTAACCACCCAACACGGGGCTTGAACCCATGACCCTGGGATTAAGAGTCCTATGCTCTACTGATTGAGCTAGCAAAGCCTTGATTAACTCCTGTCATTCCCCTTCCCCAAACCAAAACATAGAACCTTGATCCCCACATTCCCAGCACCAGGTACTTGCTTAGGTATGTTTCAAACCAGAGACAACTCAAAGTGGTTTCCATTCATCCATGCAGAGGAAACCTCTCTCAAAGGCCCCAGCAGCCGTGCATATTCCAACACTCCACTCCAACACACACACACACACAAACACACACATGAACACACATGAAGATCTGGTCCCTTAACATCAACCCAGGTTGAGTTGACTTTCCCTGCCCCATTGCCAACAAGCACTTGACCCCTGGCAACCATCCCCATTCCTACCCCCACACACATGTTCATCCTCTAACTCTGGCCCCATTCAGCCCACTTTTACTCCACCAGTTTAGAATTATAATTATAATTCTCACAAGATCACACAACAAAGATACAAGATTATACTTCTTTGGTCAAAATGTACATATAATATTAATAATAATACCTCACATAGCACCAGACTAACAAAGAATCTGTTGACATTTTCCTCATTTTCCCACAAAGTTCTTGAATTTTCCAGCTCTACTACTCTCCAGGTATGATCTATAGACACCCAACTGGAATAGGAGAAGGGAATGCTTTGAACTTATGACACAGAATTCTATGTGCCTATACCCACATGTGAAATATCTGAGACCAGTGTGGGCTCAAAAGGAGCATGAAGATAGGCAGTGAGTCCATCACAACCACCCAACCTCAGGTGCTGCAGCGGTGGATAAACCAGAAACTGGAAAGCCACCACCATCCAAAGCAAACGAAGGCAGACTGATAAAACAAGGACAGTAGGGGAATCCAAGCCCTGTTTCGGTGACAAGTATTCAGTCCACTAGGAAAGCTGCTGGAAGAAAAGCCCTTGTGTGGAACATGGCAGGATTTGTGTCAGCTTTGCTAGGAACATGGTTTGAGCAGGATGAGGTGAGAAGCCCCATCTCTCCTCCTCTTGCCTCAACCGATCCTGACACAGAAAACCAACCTCGGCCCCAGACACCACAGCCTGGTGTCTCCACAAAGCACAGCCAAGCTCACAGGCTTGGGCCTAGAATTCTCCACTGTGTTGCCCTCAACCCCAGCCCCCAGCAAATCCCCAAACCTGAGAGCTTCATAGGGCTTGCCTTTAATCAGCCGTTCAGGTCTCGTCCCAGGTAAGGTCCACATTGCCTGGGCCAAGTGTCCAAAGACAGTAGCGTCGAGGGTGGAGAGCTTGGGCCCCATGATGTACTTCTTGTCCCCTGCAGCAGAGAGAGAGAGAGGTCACTGGCCGGCCCTTGCTGTCCTGCTAAGTCACAATGGCATTCAGCATCTTCCAGCACACATGTGCTTAACAGGGCATCAAAAGCTTTGCAAAACCAAATGCATGCACCTCCTTTTACTGAGGACTAGAAACAAAAGTAAAACAAACAGTTCTGTAATATATCAACTGATGTGAGAGCGCAGCAGGGAAGTAGCTGGGAACACACCAGGGTAAGCAGAGGAGGGAGGGGTTCACGGAGAAAAGGGAGAAGTGATCACCCCCAGGACCCCAGAGGCACTTCCTTGTCTCCGACTCTGTTCGTGAAAGCCTGAGACGCTTAAGAACATCTGGACATTTGCTTAAACCATCTCAAGAGTAGCCCCAGCCAAGCACAGCCAGCCTCGGCACTTACTTTACTAAATTAGCACATTTCCTCGGGGAGAACCAGAACCCTAAGCTACTTAGGAAGTTTGGAGGAGGCAAGGCTCTGTATGAAGTCTCCATGGTCTTGGCAAGGCTCTCACCACTGAGCACCAACAGGAAACAAACATCCAGAGAAGCTTTAAAACTGCAGGATAAAAAGACAGCCCAGGAGGCATCCTACTTCACACCCTGGTCCCACTGTTATTCACTATGAAAGCCTGCTCATTAATCAACCTCTCCAAGCCTCAGTTCTCCCATCTGGAAAAGGAGATGATATTAAAGGTATTTCTTAGGACCAATGTGGGGATTAAATTTCATTAACACATGTAAAGCACTCAGCACCAAATCTGGGTAACTCATCAAATACCAGCACTCTTTATGAGAGCCCTTCTGTTTTTCCAGTCTATTCCATATCTCACCCATAGCTAAATCCCTAGGACATTCTTTTCATAGCGGCACTGCCTTTCACAACACTTTTTAATGATTTATGAAATGGATGATGAAATACAGTCCAAACTCAACCTGCAGTCCAAGACTCATCACATTCTGCTCCCAGCCCTGTTCCGGCTTTGCCCTTCTTTAACACAGGAGGCCTGGGACAGCCCCATTCACCAGCCCACTTCATGCTTCCCACTGCACACTTCTGCTCATGCTGCACCACACATCTCCTTGCCCTCCCAAACCCCACATGTGCCCCCTACTTCTCTCCATCTCATAAATTACATTCATCTTTCCAGTACAAGCCTTCTTTCAAAGCCATCTCACGGCAATGGAAGATTTCAGTTCACACAGCCCTCTTTCAAATTTCACTTTTACACATATGACCCAGATTCAGAGAGAAGAAAACATGTTAAACGAGAGCTACAATGGCTTCCTGGGCCCCCAGAAACGTTGATTTCCTTAAACTGCTAAAAGGAAAGAGTCTAAGGGAAATGCGAGAGTACAATGTGAAGTCTGTTGTAGACTCCAAAAACTCTGGGGATCAAGAGGGAAAAAATGTACATGAATTTTATAAAAACTTAGGAAACCTAAAAATAGAGCCCATAAGACCATGATTTAAAAAAAAAGAAAAAATAACAACAATAAATATAATCATTTGAATCCACACATCAACTAATACATATAGTGTTCAGCCCAAATTTGCTTTTTGGCTCAGAACATTAAAGCTAGAAGGACCCTGAGTTATTAATAATAACAGAAACAGACTAAAAATGCCAGCACCCAGTCTCCCGACGCCCAGCCTGATACTCTCCGCTCTGCACAAGATGCCACAGAGAGCTTCATCCTTGAGATAAAGACCCCAAGGGACAGCAGGAGGGTTAAGCTGTGAGTGTTTACAAAAGGATGCTTTTAATCAGGAGGGAATATAGAATATAGAAGGAGAAAAGAACAAAAGTCTAAGAATTTTTAAGGTACTTGCCCCCTCCCTCAAAAAATGGATAGAATTTAGCATTCATGGTAGATACACAATTACACATGCATACACATACACACACACACACACACACACACACACACTACAATTATAAATTTAAAGATTATAAAAATACTCTTTTATTAAGAAGTCCTCAGAGTACCCAATGGCAGAAAACTTTTTTAAAAACTTTCCTAATTAATTTTTTAGTTAATTTTAGACTTATAGAAAAGTTACAAAAAGAGCAGTTTCTGTATACCCTTCAACTAGCTTCTGCTAATGTGAGCAGCTTAGGTAACCATCGAAGAAGCAAGAGAGTTCCAGAAAAACATCTATTTCTGCCTTATTAACTATGCCAAAACCTTTGACTGTGTGGATCACAATAAACTGTGAAAAATTCTGAAAGAGATGGGAATACCAGACCACCTGACCTGCCTCATGAGGAATCCATATGCAGGTCAGGAAGCAACAGTTAGAACTGGACATGGAACAGCAGACTGGTTCCAAATAGGAAAAGGAGTACATCAAGGCTGTATATTGTCACCCTGCTTATTTAACTTTTATGCAGAGTACATCATGAGAAACGCTGGGATGGATGAAACACAAGCTGGAATCAAGATTGCCAGGAGAAATATCAATAACCTCAGATATGCAGATGACACCTTCCTTATGGCAGAAAGTGAAGAAGAACTAAAGAACCTCTTGATGAAAGTGAAAGAGGAGAGTGAAAAAGTTGACTTAAAGCTCAACATTCAGAAAACTAAGACCATGGCATCTGGTCCCATCACTTCATGGGAAATAGATGGGGAAACAGTGGCTGACTTTACTTTTCTGGGCTCCAAAATCACTGCAGATGGTGATTACAGCCATGAAATTAAAAGACGCTTACTCCTTGGAAGGAAAGTTATGACCAACCTAGACAGCACATTAAAAAGCAGAGACTACTTTGTCAACAAAGGTTTGTCTAGTCAGGCTATGGTTTTTCCAAGTAGTCATGTACGGATATGAGAGTTGAACTATAAAGAAAGCTGAGCGCTGAAGAATCGATGCTTTTGAACTGTGGTGTTGGAGAAGACTCTTGAGAGTCCCTTTGACTGCAAGGAGATCCAACCAGTCCATCCTAAAGGAGATCAGTCCTGAGTGTTCATTGGAAGGACTGACATTGAAGCTGAAACTCCAATACTTTGGCCACCTGATACGAAAACTGACTCATTGGAAAAGACCCTGATGCTGGGAAAGATTGAAGGCAGGAGGAGAAGGGGATGACAGAAGATGAGATGGTTGGATGGCATCACCGACTCAATGGAGATGAGTTTGAGTAAACTCCGGGAGTTGGTGACGGACAGGGAGGCCTGGTGTGCTGTGGTCCATGGGGTCGTGAAGAGTTGGAGACGACTGAGCGACTGACCTGAACTGAATTAAGAAACCACAGAACATTTATTGTTGCTGTCATTGTTTAGTCGCCCAGTAGTGTCAGACTCTCTTACAATCCTATGGATTGGGATTCTCCAGGCAAGAATACTGGAGTGAATTGCCATTTGCTTTCTCCACGGGATCTTCCTGACCCAGGGATTGAACCCACGTCTCCTGCCTGCATCTCCAGCCTTGCTGGCAGATTTTTTACCACTGAGCCACCAGGGAAGTCCCTCAGTACATTTACCAAAACTAAGAAATTAACATCAATATAATTTAATTAACTGCACTGTACTCTTTGTTCAAATTTTGGTAGTTTTTCAACTATATGTTCTTCTCTGCTTCAGGATCCCACATTGCATGTAGTTGTCAGGTCGCCTTAGTTCCTCAGTCTTTCCTTGTTACCCCCCTCCCACCTCCCCCCACCCACACATTCGTGCCCTGCACGATCTTAGTTCCCTGACCGGGGATTGAACCCCATGTAGTGAGCAGAGTCTTAACCACTGGGCCACCAGGGAAGTCCCTCCTTGTCTTTCATAACCTTGACATTTTTAAAGAATCCTGATCAGCTGTTTTGCAAAACGTTCATCAACTTGGGTTTGTCCAAGGTGGTTAATCATTAGAGTAGTCATCCATTTTTACAAATGCTCCTGTGATGGTTATTTCATGTGTCAATCTAACTATGGCATGGGGGGTTAAGTGATGTGGTCAAACATTATTCTGGGTTTTTCTATGAGGGTGTTGTGAGCAAGATTAACATTTAAGTGATAGGCTGAGTAAAGCAGAACACTCTCCCTAGTGTGGGTGGGACACTCTCCCTAGTGTGGGTGGGACACTCTCCCTAGTGTGGGTGGGACACTCTCCCTAGTGTGGGCCTCCTCCAGTTAATTGAAGGCCTTCATATGACAAAAGGGCTGACTCTCCCCAGAGGAAGAGAGAATTCCTACTGCCTGAGTGCCTCTGAAATAGGACAGAGGGCTTTCCTGACTTCAGACTTAAATGGAAGCATTGGCTTTTCAAGGGTCTTAAGCCAGTTCTGATTGGAACTATACCATCAGCCCTCCTGGGTCTCCAGCGTGCCAACCCCCTCTGCAGATCTTGGTATCTGTCAGCCTCCATATTTGTGTGAGCCCATGTAAATGTAGTATATAAGAGAAACAGACATGGACAGATCCAGATATCTAGATCTATATCTCCTATTGGTTTATTTCTCTGGAGACCCCTAATACCCCTTCTCAGAGCATCATATCAGGAGGTCCACAATGTCCATATGTCTTATCACTGGGGATATTAACCCTGACCACGTGGTAAAGGTAGTATCCGTACGGTTTCTTCCGTGTAATGTTACTAGTTTTCCTTTTGCAGTTAATAACCTTGGGGGAGAAACTTTGAGACTGTATCACTATCCTGTTTCTCCTCAAACTTTGGCCCACTAATTTTAGCATCCACCAGTAGTCATCAAACTGAAACAACTAAATACTGTGGAGTTTGCCTAATCAGGATTTTCTATTTCTCTATTACTTCTACATGTCTTTATTCAAATACTACTGTTCCCTTCATCCCCCTTTTGCTGACATATTCAATTATTTATTTATGTAACCATGCACCTGTCGATATTTATTTTATTCTATGGCCTGTAATCCAGTACTCTCATTATTCCTTGTGTTGCTCAAATTGTTCCAGATTTGGTCTTTTGAGCTTAGCAGGAAGTATTTTTTAAGAAAAAGACTGAATTTAGATTAGATTCT